TCCATCATTGTACTTTCATCCTTTTGCCCATATTTCCAGTACTCTTCCCTTACTCTTTACTCCACGACCCTTCCGTAGGTTTGTTCAAGCGAGCGATCATGCAGTCCGGCTCACCTGAAGGATATGAACTCTGCCAAACTTGTTGAATGTCTGATGAAGATCCCAGAGGAGTAATTGACCTCTGCTCTGTACACACTGGTAGGGTTCTAGCATAATTCTTTTAGCAGATCTGTGGAAGGTGTGTATGGTATGCATGTGGGCAATGGATGTATTTTAACATATGTGTGGAAGGTGTGTATGGTATGCATTTGGGCAATGGCTGTATTTTAATGTGTATATGGACCAGCCAAATTCATTAAAAATAAATAATTGAATAAAAGACGTTCAAATCATCCAATGAAAGTGTTCTTATGTTATAAGAATAATTATAATTTTTATGTTATAAGTACGTCCAGCTCCTAAGCAAAGAATGTCAGGTACATCAGTACTTAGCTTTTTATCTTCCGTGATCGTCTCTCGTTGTTCACTTTGTTCATCTAAATATGACGACATTGCCGATAGTTCAATATTTCAGGAGGATAGCGAAACACACTCCCTGACGTCTCGACCATTACTGTTTATTATTTTTCTTTTCAGAGGTTTACATTTTTGTGAAATGTATTCTTTAAGTAAATAACCTAAAAATACACATGAAATGGACGAAAGAAAAAAAACAAGATTATAAAATAGAAACCATTTAAAACAACTTAGAAGAACATGAAGTTTCCCCTAAAACTTAAAATTAAAATAGAAACCGTAAGACCACTACAGCGACGATGATAATAAAAATAGTAATTATAATGTAGTAGTAATAATAATAGCAGTAATCGTACTACTGGTAGTAATATAAAAAACAACAACGGCAACAATAATAATGCTAATGATGATAATAGGAACAATAGTAATAATAAAAATTATAAATATATATATATATATATATATATATATATATATAATATATATATTATATATATATAATTAATATCACGATCATCAAACCTTTATTATTTAAAATCATCCTCATCATTATCACTATCATTATTATTATTCATTTTCTCCAACGCCAAGCCCACCTGTTTCAAGCCCACATGGACGGAGCGTTCCACCCAGACCACCCAACCACGCTGCTGAGGGAGGGCCGCTATGACATCATGGACATCGTTTTCGGCGCTCTAAATGCTCGCAGTAAGAGAGTCAGCGACTTGGTCTTGGCTGGTGTATGTGTTTACTCCTGGTATAATGTTTAGAGTACTGTTAGATGTATTATTTTGGGCGTATGTGTATCGCACAGGCTGATACTTTCTACAGTACATGTTAGCGGTTGTTCCCTGCATTAAGACTTTCATGGACTAGATAGTGTTTGTGTGTGCATATAGTGCTGTTTAGACAAATAGTACAGTTACTTCTGGCCCATATGTTGGAATATTGTGTAGACACTGAATGATCTGCAATCATTACCAATTTTGATATTTACTTGTGGGGAAGGCTAGATCAGTAGCAACTCGAGATGTCATGGCGTATGATTCTATTTTTGGAAGAAGGGGTTTATTTTGATGACATCACAAAAGTTAAGTATGTTATGTGAATATGGTCGATCATTTTGTTCGTTTCAATTTACAAAAAGGATGGAAAATAATAATTTCAATGCTTATATTTACATTGAACAATCACCAAAATATCAGTGGGATGCCATGACACCTCCTCGAGTTGCTACTGATCTAGCCTTCCCCGTTCACTTTCTTGAGCATTCATTCCTGCTTTCCTTCCTACCAGCATTCTTGCAAGACGGCACAATGGACACCCTGATTGAAAACTACAGCACGATTGTTTCCTTCGTAATGGGCTTGAATGTCTGGGACGACAACATAGACCTTCTAGACCGCCAGGTACTTGGGTTCCATCGATCCTGACATGAGCAAGATCGATGCTCTGATCAAGGTAAGATAAAAGGCAGTATTCAAAAAAGGAATCGCCTTACCTTTAATAATAGTGGTGTTGTTGACATTGATAATGGTAGTTATAGTAATGCTGATAAAAACAAACATGATAAAGTATTATTTCAGATTTATGGTAAAGAAAGGGAGTAAGAAGTCAAGAAAAAGTATTAAGAGTAATGAAGGCAGCTAGGGAAGGATGGAAGGAGCTGATACCAGTGACATTTTTTTCTTTTTTTTCTTATACAACAATCAGAAATTTGACCTAATTTGAATCTTGTTCATCCCATGCTCGTCAGTGATTCCTTTTGCAATACATGCACTATTGAAGCTATGGAAAACCATGCAAGGGTGTCTTCGCTTATGAGTTGCAGCATCGTGGACAATACACCATGGAACTATACACTGGATGTACAAGTGGATGTTGGATGGTAAGAACTTTTATCATTACTGTTATTATCGCTATTATTACTATCATTATCAAAACAAGTATTATTATTGTTATTATTATTATTATTGGTAAATATATCTGAGTATATCATATATCTTGTAAGTTATATTCTGATGAAATTTGAATGGAAACATGGTCGCTATAGCAAATCAACTGCATTGTATATATACAGCTTTCCCTTCTATAAAAGACATGAACGTTTGACATCCGTATTAACCAACACAATCACACCGATGTATGCCACATGGACCGTTTGCAGTTCCTATTCTCCTTTGACAATCTCAATATCAGCTTGAGCAAGGAAGGGGATTTCTTCGTTTCGAGGATCATGATAGATCCCTGGACCAACTTCGCGGCCACTGGGTAAGAGACTGGTCTGAAACCTAAAACGATAATTACACTCAAAGATAAATCTCATCAACCACTTACTAGTACTAAAGAAGCATAATTTTCAAATTATATTGAGACACGTAAAAAAAAAAAAAAAAAAAAATGCTTGTGAACTGTGTGTAAAGAATTTGACTCTCTTTAGAAACCCAACATCGGATATGTCAATGGGATTCAAAGGGACACTGACTGAAAATTCAAAGGTTTCTTAACTGGGCATCACCTCATCCCCTACCATGAAGGTCTTCGATGATGTTCAGGTAATATGGATATGTATAGAAACATTCAAAACATCGTGCCTATTTGACTCATATTCCAAGATGGGGAAGGCTAGATCATTAGCAACTCGAGGAGGTGTCATGGCGTCTGATTCTATTTTTTTGAAAGAGCGCATTTTAATGACGTCACAAAAGTTATGGATGCTTTGTGAATATCGCCGATCATTTTGTTCTCTTCAATTTTCAAAAAGGATAGAAAATAATTAAATTTTAATGGTTATAATTTCATTGAAGAATTATCAAAACAGCCTTGTGGGATGCCATGACACCTCGCGTTGCTACTGATCTAGCCTTCCCCTTTCCCAGATATGGGTGGATGTTTCTTTAATATGAATGTTTGGGAACATTAATTTAGCATCCGGTTTTACTATCGTTCTTAGCTTGCATAGAGGCATTCATGTACCATATTCCATACATGTTACTAGCAATGTATCGACTTACGTGCATACGGGGCCTTACTCGAATGCACCTTTCATAATGATAATAAAGTTGTATTGATAGGTAATACAGATCGCTAAAACATTCTTATCTTTCATATTGCAGTTCCTTGCAGATATTAGTGATTGTATATTCACCCAATTATTGCCTGTTTGTCATTTTCTCCACAACCTGGAGGGATGTTAGCTGTTAAGCCATTGAGGTGTTCACTCTGTGCCTATTTTCCTTTATAATATTAAATGTTCTCTTTTGGGGTCTTACTCCTCTGTAACTTGTATTTTGACAGTGTGATTAAACCTAAAAAGAATCCGTTGAAATATGTTCTACTGAATTTCACATATTTGTGTGACATGTCCTACTGAATTTCACTTAGTGTGATATGTCCTACTGAATATCACGTTAGCCTCCCTCCCTCCACAGAGCCTGCATGCAACTGCATGCAGCATCGACGACAAGGGACTTTTATGCAGACAATTAAATTTCTGTCTCTTGTTTTCAGTGGAACTTGGAATTCTGGAGGAATTTACCGAAGAAAGTGAACAAACTGCTGTATCCAGACCGTTTTCGCGAAGACCAGGACTAGGAAGCAGTATCAGTTACCATACCATGATGCTACTGTCGCTGTTACTACGGGAATTTTGTAGTTGCTGTTATAACTGCAGCGTGTGGGATTCACCTGTATTCTTGGTATCCCAGTGAATATGGATCCGGCCTTCTTTAAACCTGCCCTGAATAATGTTTTCTAAACTTTTGAGTAGTATCAGTATGTATTGTTCATGGCCTTTGGAAGAATCACAAACAAGGGCATTGTATACTCAGTGTATATTCTCTGTCAAGAAATAAATTTGCTTTGAAACAAATCCTTGTTTTATATTGTATAATCAGATTAAAAAGAAGCTTTCTTACGGAGCTAGTACAGAGATAAAATGAGTATGCCTAGTCTGAAGAGTAACAGATACTTATTGTGTCTAAAATAAGCATGCGTGTATGTGGTATTTTTTCTAATTTTCTAATTATACACCAAGTGCTGGTCAATACCTAGAATCTGTATTTTTTGGCATAACCATGAAAAATACGAGTACATTAATTATAAAACATTATCTCCAATATATTTTTGAAACCGACAAAGTCATTGTTGGAAAACCGGCCCACTATTTCTGAGGAAATCCTTCATTATGAATTGTATACTAACAGTTTCCTTTCAGTCCAGATTCTTTTGGATTACTATTGCTCACATTTGCAGTTATGTGAGCAAAATTTGTACGACAATTAACGTACTCGGTCTGCTGCCAAAAATAGGGGTGGTGCATTGAAGG